TACCTGACCTATGTTTCCTTCTTTTTCTTGACCATTTTAGTTTGAATATGTTTTAATTTGAGGCACATTTCTCTGTTGATCTGAATTATAAAGACCATTACATTAAGATGACTTTTCCAAGAGTATTCTTTATTGTGTGTCTTTATTGCACATTGCCTGGTTTAAAACAACTAGTAAAAACCGAAAGAACTGTGGATGCTGTAAATCAGGAACAAAAACAAAGCTGCTGGAAAAGCTCAGCAGGTCTGGCAGCATCTGTGAAGGAAAGAACAGAGTTAACGTTTCGGGTCTGGTGACCCTTCCTCAGAACCTATGTTACAGTCTTGTTATGTGCTGTTAACATTTAAAGAAAATCTGAAGATGCTGTTATTAACTGACAGACTTGCACATTAAGATTTCATATTTTTAAATAAAACAAACTTTATTGTACAAAAGAGAAATTAAACAAAGCGAGCACCATTGAATTTACACTATGGCTGACAATATCTTGTGCTATATACTCAATACTACTTGTTATTTCCCCCTATGTGTTTACTTATGTTTTGAAATCTTGACATTTCAGTTATTTCTTTTAAGGACCAGCCCAAAACTATGCTGCAGTTATCTGGAATTTACTTCAATTGTCCAGAGTGTTCCAACTTTCTCATAGTACTAAATGTACAAGGATCCATCTTTGGTAAAGCGATCCTCACAATTGTGGATTAGTCAGCTCCTTGTCATAGCTTTGGGTACACATAGACTGCTTTTACATGTTGTCTGTTCCCACAGCCTCTGTACAGCCCTTTACAAATTCACAGTTTAAGCTGAATGATTAATGCCGCAAGACTGTGAGGACCACTGGAGATTATTTCCTCCAGCTTCAATCGAGCAAATATTCCAGTTTCTTGTCATGAATTTCAAACTGAGCTCACCACACACATTCAATGCTATGTTTGTATTTTCTCTGCTTACTTGACAAACATTAAAATTAATTTCCTTTGGCTCTCCCCAATCAGTGAATCAGTCAAAAAGCTTGCTTGAGACCACATATGTAACTGCCTCTATCTGATCCCACCCTGAACTGCTTGCCTCTGTCAGCAAGCCAATAGTGATAAATGAAACAGCAGAGCCTCCAAATGAAGGCTCCCTCTTGAATTACTATCTCTAATAATGTGACATACATGTCTCAGGCATCAATGTTAATGAATTATTTTAGAATCAATGCAACTCTTTGATTCTGTAACTCATACGAATAATTTCCATTTCTAATCAATGTAATTTGCCTTTTTCCAGACTCCTTTGTTCAATTACGAGGTTAGAGATGGATCATTTTGACACCCTCAAACAAGGCCACCTATTAACATTACAGACCCAGACTCATTGGAGCTATATTTGTATCGTAGTTGTTTTTACTACTTTCTCCACTAGATGCCCCTATTTTCTACACTTAAAACTATAATTCCTGTCAGTTTTGTCATGAAACATGAACTGATATGTACAGTACATATCATGCTCATTTATATTTGTGCTATTAATCATGCATTTTATGAGTGTTGTGAGCATTTTAAGAGCAATAAAAAGCCTTTAATTCTGACTGTTTTGGCCTTTCTAATCTAATGCAATTGTTCATTCAGTCTGCCCCTTCTGATGCACTCTGGCTATTATTAGATGTATCATTTCCCCGCACTACTGCCTTGTCGTTTGCCTTGAACTTTCCAGATCTCCCCTCACGTGAATCCTCATCGCTCATCCCTACTATTCAGCTGAAAGCCCTCAACAACCCTCATTATACAATTTGCCAAAACATTAGTCCTAGTGGGGTTCATATGAAAGCTGTTGCAGTGGCACAGCTCCATCTTACCACAGTACTGGTACCAGTGCTACAAAGAAATGAAATGCATTTTTCCAATGCCAATCTTTGAACCATACATTCATCCGTCAGATCTTAGTTACCCTCTACCAAATTTTTTATTGTTCTGATAGTAATCTGTAAATTATTATCTTTGTGGCCTTGCTTTCCAATTTAGCCCCAAGCAGCTTATAGTTCCTTCACCTTCACCTTCATCTCTTTCTTAGTCCAACCTATGTCATTAGTATTCAGATGGACCACATCAACTGAACCCTTCTGCTCTCACTACAGACCATTATTTGACGTCAACACAATGACCTTAATCCGAGCACTGGGCAGCCAACAGAAGCTTCACAACTGATGTTCCTGGCAACAGAAAATCATGTCTGTATCCCTAACTGCAGATTTTAGATTTTATTGTCACATGTACTCAAGTACAGGAGTACAGTGAAAAGTGTATAACATTGCCACACATGGCGCTATCTTAGGTACCAAGGAGCTAGGTACAAAAAAAACCTAGGTGCAAAATAGTAGGAGAGACGAGAGTAGTGAAAAAAGAAAGAAATAGGCAATAGTTTACATTAAAGTCTTTCATCCTTTTAATCTAGGAAATTAAAGGAATAAGTTAAAAGTTCAACAGTTTTTCAGTCCTCTGCTTATTTCAGCTGCTGCTGAAACTGCCACCTCCCTGATCTCCGCCGACGGCCCGGGAACATGCCTGGGCAGGATCCACTCGCACGCCGAGTCGACACACCTCCATGAGCCACTGAGAGACCAGGTTGAGAGCAAGAGATCAGCTGACATATTGCTGAGAGGTTGGGCTGAGAGCCAGTGAGAGACCAGGCCAGGACGCACAACAGGCAGCCGAGAGACCGCAGTGAGAGCCGCCATGAGACGCTGAGAGACCAGGCTGGGAGCTGCCATGAGCCGCTGAGAGACCAGGCTGGGAGTCGCCATGGTGGAGGTGAACATCAAGAGGGGGAGAAAAGAGAACAAAAGGGAATAAAAACAGAAGGAGAGGAGGAGCTCTGGCTGGAGTGTCCTACACTACTGCCATCTTGAACGTAATGGTCACAGTCCCTGACGATAACTGCATTCCTTTTCTCTTCGATCAGGCCCCAGCAGGAGTCGAATCAGAATCGCACCTCGAAACAGCATAGGTAGGAGACCTGTACTGGGATCTAGCCTCCTTTCTTTTTCACCCCCACTGGGAGTGCTGGAAAGGCTGGAGGCAAGATCGGAAGCCTGCAAGGGAGTGGGAGAGGAGGGAGAAGGAGAGGGATGCCTCAAAGAAGAGAAATCAACTTCAAAATAGAATAAACTTTATTTTGTTGTACAAGATACTTCATTCTAGACCCCTTAACAGTGCAGTCATTAGATGGAGAGCTGCTTCCTATTGCATGGGAATGCTTTCTGCTGTTTGCACCACCTAATGATGGTATTCAAAAGTTACTCCAGCTTAGAAATATCTTTTGATGATTATCTGCAGCTTTTTTAAATTTTAAGTATTATGCTTTAAATTTAGGACAGTTCTAAAATGAGACAATGCTGTTATACTCACCAAGTAGTCAACTGACAGATTTCATGCATTGTCACAGTTTGATTTCTTTCACTCTGTTCTCAATTCAAGCAACCTGGCACTTCTTTGCTCCTTTTGCCTCCAGTTAAGTCAAATCCTCTTACCTCTCCTCCCTCCCTCTTTTTTGTTGCCCCCTATCCTGCTCTCTGTCATTGCCCCCTCTTCTGCTCTCTGTCGTTGCCCTCTCTGCTGTTGCCCCTCCCCTTCCCTGCTCCCTGTTGTTCCCCTCCCCACCACTTTCCTCATCACTTCCTCTCACTTTGTGCTTTCTCTCTGACACTGTCATCATTCACAGCTTCTGCTGTCTCCAATCAAGTCAGTGCTCTTCTTCCGCGTGCTTTCTTTTATCCTCTGCTGCTGTCTCTCTGTTGTACAACACTACCCAAGGCCCTACTTTTAATTGTTTAAGTTCTGCCTTTGTTTGTATTATTGAAATGCAATAGCTTGCATTTATCTAAATAAAGTTCCATCTGCCACTCTTCAGCTGATTGACCCAATTGTCCAAGATCTCTTTGTAATCTTAGATAACCTCCTTCACTGTCCACTATACCACCAATTTCTGCTGTCATCCACAAACTTACTTACCATGTTTTCTGTTTTCTCATCTAAATCATTTATGTTAATGACAAACAAAAGTGGACCCTGCACCTACCCTGTGGAACACCGCTGATCACAGGCCTGCAGTCTGAAAAACAACCCTCTACCACCACCACTCTCTGTTTCCTACAGTTAAGCCAATTTTGTATCCATTTGGCAAGCTCACTTGGAGTCCCATGTGATCTAACTTTACTAATTAGTCTATTATGCAGAACCTTTGTCAAAGGTGTTATTAAAGTCCAAGTAAACAATGTCTTCCACCCTGCCCTCATCAATCTTCTTGGTTACTTCCTCAAAAAACTCAATCAAGTTTGTGATACATGATTTCCCTTGCACAGAACCATACTGACTATCCCTAATCATTCCTTGCCTCTCCAAATGCATATAAATCTTATCTTTCAGAATCACCTCCAATAACTTACCCAATCTATAGATCCCAGGTTTCTCCTTTTATCCCTTCTTAAACAAAGGCACAACATTAGCCACTCTCCAGTCATCCAGCACCTCACCTGTAGTTATAAATGATGCAAATATTTCTGCAAGGGGCCCACAATTTCCTTCCTAACTTCCGACAATGTCCTGGGATACACTAGATTAGGTCCCGGAGATTTACTTACCTTTATATTTTCTAAGACCTCCAGCACTTCCTCTTCTATAATGTGAACTGTTTTCAACATCTCTGAGTTCTCTAGCCTTCATTTCTTTTTCCACAGGAAAAACTGACATGAAATATTCATTTAATATCTCTCCCAACTCCTGAGATTCAACACAAAAGTGACCTCATTTATGTTTAAGAGGCCATACTCTCCCTTGAGTTGCTCTCTTTTTCTTAATGTACTTGCACAATCTCTTCGGATTATCCTTAACCTTAACCTAATTCCTCACCCTTCCAGCCCACACGTCCATCTAGCACTGTAATTGTGTTTTTTCTCCAAAATATTGAAGTTTTTGTTGTCTATGTTGTTTTACAGTTTGTTTGTAATTTGTTAAATTTAGGCGCAGAGTGATCTTGATGCTAAGCTTTCTACTGTGGTTGATTTGGGGATTAAACTCCAGGAAATGGATCAGCAGATGAAGCAGGTTGTAGAGCGTCAAGCAAAGGCTCGGGCTCAGGATTCAGGCTCCAAGGAACAGCAAGAAAGAATCAGAGAGCTGGAGACGCAGTTGAATACGTTCTTGAATCAACGACTTTGCCATTTGGAGAAATTTCAAGAACAGCAACTTGAACTTCAGGTATACCCCCACGCCAATTAAAAAAGGAAGTTTAAATAATTTTAGATTAGTTCAATCTTGTTGTGCTCACACATATTATCACAGTTCATGTTATTACTTGACACATCAGATCCCAGACTGAAATCTGGCTTGATAGATCATATTTTCATTATTTTTGCTTATAATGAGGTGAAATATGCACTTAAATATCAGCATGTAATCTTGAATATTTTATTTTAACAATAAAACAGAAGTTTATTCTGTAAAAGAAATGAAGATAAACTACTATAAATCGAACTATTTACATGTTACGCTTGTTTGAAGGATATTAAACATCTGATAAAATACAGTCCTATTAATCCCAAAAACACTTGTGAACAACACTTGCGCTAATGAACGTTTCCATCTATTTCACATCTGTAGGTCTTAACTTAACTGTAGCTTCAATACCCTTTCTAGAGAATCTGATAACCTCATCCTGAAGCCTTCACACAAGTGACCTTAGAGTTTCTCAGTTCCAAATAACTGCTTCAGAATTTTAACCAAACACTTCCTGTCTGGAACTTTAAAACTTATCTTCTTGCACTGAGGTAACCACTTTCATTACAATCTTAAATTATCACTCTTTCTCAGGAGCAGCTCTTACACCCATCTAGCTTCAGCCAAGACATCTGCAAAGTGAAACCCAAAAGCATTTTTACCTAACTATGGCTATTACCCCTAAGCACCGAGAATATGCCGAATTTTCTACCTGAAAAGATAATGCACTACACTGTTTAATTTGTTTGTTTGCCAAGTTTTGGTGGAGACTTCCGGCCTAGTATTTCAGCAGCCTGGCATGGCAGTCTTGTCCTGGCTGAATCTTCAGGGTATTCCACTGTTCCTTAATCGGCTTTCCCTGAGCTGAGGAGCTGTTAACTGAACTGTGATGAACTTTGTCTTAATTTTACTTTTTTTTTCATTATTATGTATGCCTTCTGTCATTGATGTAGGTTGCTGTGGTGACTTTTAAAACTTCTCACTGTATTTTTCATATGAAAGTACACATGCTAATAAATTTCTCTTCTCTTCTCTTTCCTCTCGTCTCCCCTCGTTTCATCTTGTCTTGTCCTGTCTCGCCTCTTCCTCTCCAGAAAGTTTCTCTAATAGTGTTTTGAAAGGAATCACCATGTTATGGAAATACTGACAAGTTAATTATTAAACCTCTTTAGACCCAAAGACCAAAGCCTCTAGCTCAGATCCAAAATCTGAAATAAATAATATTAAAATATATGTAAATCACACCTGTATTACACCTTTTCTCCCATCCCACAAGAAGAAAGAAAATGTATCTTCAAGAGGTATTTAAATTATCTATCAAAAACTATCTTAACACTACTTCTACATCTCGCCATCAGTAGTAACATGTTGACATTAAACATTAAATATGCAGTGAATTATACAGCAACTTTATTTTACATAAGCTCACAAGCACCACATCACTCAGCGCCCTTCATATGTGTTCTTGATAAAGTAACCACTGTAACATTTGTTTTTCCATGCACACGAATAATTTCAAATTATATGGTTGTAAAAGTAAGCTCCACCGAAACAATCATAAATTCTTGTCCTGAAATTGTGCAACCATCAATGTTCGGCACTGTTCACAATTCCTCAGAAACTGAAGTGGTCCATGTCCATGTCCATATGTATCAAGATCTGAACAAGTTTGGGTTGACAAGTGATAAGTAACATTCGTGCTAAACAAGTGTCAGGCAAAGACTGTCTCCAGTAAGCGAGAAACTAACAGCTCCTTGCCATTCAATGGCATTACCATCGCTGAATTCTCCACTATCAACATCTTTGGGGGTTACCATTGACTAGAAACTGAACTGGACCAGTCTTGTAAATACTGTGGCTACAAGATCAGTTCAGTGCCTAGGAATTCTGTGGGAGTAATTTGCCTTTTGACTCTGCAATGCCTGTCCACAAGGCAGAAATCAGGAATGTGATAAAATTCTCTCCACTTACTTGAATAGGTGCAGCTCCAAAATTTTCATGCAGAGGGTGGTGCGTGTATAGAATGAGCTGCCAGAGGAGGTGGCGGAGACTGGCAAAGTTACAAATTTAAATGACATCTGGATGGTTACATGAATAGCAAGATGTGGAAGGAATATGGGCCAAATGTTGGCAAATGGGACTAGATTAATTTAGGATATCTGGTCGGCATGGTCGAGTTGGACCAAAGGGTCTGTTTCTGTGCTGTATATCTCTATGACTAACATCAAAAGGTTGTGGTCTGTATAAATAACAGTATCTTCCCAATTTAAAACTATCCATAATTTCTTGAGTATAAAACAATAGAGTAATAAAATTAAAAAAAAAATGCTGTGGCCGCCATGATCTCTGGACATCAGTTTTCATTGTGTAGTAATCACTCCTTCCCATTCCAATTCTCTGTCTCTTATCTCTCAAACATGCCATGAAATCATATATCTCCTTGCCGCCCCCGCCACCATCCCATAATTCATTTCCTTGTGATAAATTTTGATGTTGCAGCCATCTGTTTTAAAAACCTCAACCAACTTTGCGACTTTAATAGGGTCTGGTTGACATATTGATGTTACATTTACCTCTGTCTTCGCAATCAGAAGGGAAGGCTTACCAGTTGATCTCTACTGAACATTCAGAATCACCAGCATAATAAGTGTGATGGAAGACCAATAATCTGAAGTATTTACTACGTTTCTTCTGTTTTTGCGGATGTTGTGTGATCCGTTAAGTATTTCCAGCATTTTTAGATTTTAGTTTAAATTTTCAGCATCCACAGTTCTTTCCATATAATGATTAAAATGGTTGTACCACTGAAGGAGGTCATTTGGTCAGTCATGGTTTGCTGGCTCTCTGCAAAGCAACTCAACTCGTTGAGAAGTATGTATTCTTAAAGTGAAGGTTTAATCTCCCATTAGAAAAGTACAAACTTTCTGCAAAATTGGTTTTGTATGATCCTTTGATGTTTCAGATATAGATCCTTCAACAGCAACAGCATATTTATACATCATCTTTAATACAGTAAAACATTCCTATGTTGGCGAAGCAATAGCCTTAATAGCTTTATTGCTAGACTAATAATCCAGAAACTCTGCTAATATTCTGGGGACCTTGGTTCGAATCCCACCATGGCAGGTGGTGGAATGTGAATGCCATTAAAAAATCTGTTTTTAAGAATCTACTGAAACCACTGTTGATTTTTGAAAAAGGAATCTGATTCCGTATGTGTTGCTGATGGGGAGGCGATGGCCCAGTGGTATAATCGCTGGACAGTTAATCCATAAACTCCACTCGTTGTATGGACTGGGTTCAAATCCCACCATGGCAGTTAGTAGAATTTGATTTAATTTTTAAAAATCTGGAATTAACAACTACTGACAGCCATGAAGCCATTACCAATTGTTAGAAAACCCATCTGGCTCACTAATGTCCTTCAGGGAAGGAAAGCTGCCATCCTCACCTGGTGTGGCCGAGCTGTGACTCCAGACTCTCGGCAATGTCGTTGACTCTTAACTGTCCTCTGAGATGGCCTAGCAAGCTACTAAGTTCAAAGACTGCTAGGGACAAGCAGTAAATGCTGGCTGGCCAGCCAGCAGCAGCCACATCCCTTGTTTGAATGAGAAAAAAAAACTAATGTCCTTCAGGTAAGGAAATCTGCCATCCTCATCTGGCCTATATTTGACTGACATACTTGACTTATGGCTGCCCTCTAAAATGGCCTAGTAAGCCCCTCAGTTGTATGAATCACCTACAAAGTCTCAACAGAGAAATGAAACCAGATGGGCCACCTGGCACTCACCAAGGAACTGAAAATTACAATGGCAAAACCAACTGTGTCCCCAGACTCTGCAAAAGTCCACGTTGCAACATCTGGGGTCCAATGCTAAAACTGGAAGAGCAATCTCATAGACTAGTCAAGCAACAGCCTGACATGGTCATACCCACAGAATATACTTTACAGACACCACCACCACCATCCCTGGATGAATGCTGTCCCACTGGGCAGAAGTGGTGGCACAATGGTATACAGTTGGGAGAGAATTGCCATGGGAGTCCTCAATGTTGACTCTGGACCCCATGAAATCCCATGGCTTTAGGTTGAGCATGGGCAAGGAAACCTCATGCTAATTACCACATTCCGTTCTCGTTCAGCTGATGACTCTTCGCTCTCCATGTTGAACAATACTTGGAGGAAGCACTGAGGATGGCAAGGATGCAAAATTAATTCTGTGTTGGGAGTTTCAATCTCCACCACCAAGAGTGGCCCAATGGCAAGCAAACTGGTCGGGTCCTAAAGAACATAACTACTGGACTGTGTCTGTGGAGGAGGGAACTAGCAAGAAGGAAAAAGATACTTGACCTCATCCTCACCAATCTGCATGCTGCAGATCCATTACAGTATCAGTAAGAGTGACCACCGCATAGTCCTTGTTGAGTCAAAGCCCTATCTTCACAATGAAAATTCCTTCCATTGTATTGTGTGGCACTATGACCATGCTAAATGGGGCAGACTTCATACAGATCTAGCAACTCTAGATTCAGCATCCATGAGACACTGTGGACTATCAATAACAGCAGATTTGTACTCCAACACAATCTGTATCCTTATGGTCAGTCATATCAACTGCTACTCAACCATTACCGTCGATACTATCAAGCCAGGGGTTCAACCCTGGTTCAGTGGAGCGAACGATGGAGAGGAGGGCACACCAGGAGCAGCCCATACATACCTGAAAGTGACATACCCTTGTGAGCTGCCAAACAGGACTACTTGCATGCCAAATGATATAAGCAGCAAGTGATAGACAGAGTGTAGCGATCCTACAACCAACGGATCAGAGCTAAACTCTGCAGTCCTGTTGCATCCAGTCATAAATAGTGGTGGACAATTAAACAACTCGCTGGAAGAGGAGGCTCCACAAATATCCCCATCCTCCATGACGGAGGTGCTCAGTACATCCATGCAAAAGTTAAGGCTGAAAGATTCGTAA